AGTCGCTCCCAGCATCTGGACTCTCCAGGCTTGCCCGATGTCCTCCACACCGTCCCTGCTCCGAGGGCCCCCCAGAAAGACAGGGGGAAAGGCCCAGGAGGGGAAGGTAGGAACACAGGTCTCGGTTGCCATCTGAGCTTGGACACCCACCCTCAGAGGAGTCTGGGGAGGAACCTGGGGGAACATCCTGTACCTCCCTAAAGGGCCCTGTCTCTTAAAGGTATACACAGCCCTCACCATCATTCAGATCGCACCCTCAGGCAGAGCGCTGGCTGTCTGCAGCATGGGAGGCTCCACAAAGAGGCGACTGGGGGGCCAGGGTGAACTAGGAGGTCTGGGGAAGCCTGGCCCACCGCCCCTTCCCAAGCCCAGCCTTCCTCTGACAACAAGTTTACCAGTCAGGGTTCTGTGGACGGGGCCTCGGGGGCGTCAGGGCAGCGGGGGGCCCAATGGTGATGCTGCTGTTGGTGACCCTCGGGCCGTACCAGCCGGCCCAGTAGTGAGTGTCCACGCCACCGTGCTGAAACCAGATGTAGCGGACGCCGGGTGGGTAGTTGGAGAACGTGTGTGAGACCTGGGAAGGGGGCAGGTAGAGGGAGGGAGAGAGGTCAAGGGAGCTGACCCTGAGGGTGGCGCTGCCTGAGGGGCAGGGGGGACAAGGAAGGGACTGCTCTCTTAGTGCTGGACCAGAACTGAGTTCTGGTTCTCATTCTGTGAAGCGGGGCAGACCACCTCCCCTCTCATATGCCTTAGTTTCCTCATCTGTAAAATGGAGTCGATTCCTGGAGGGGCCACTCCACAGGATTATCTAAGTGTGGCGCGGACCAACAGAAGGAAATTTCGCAAGCTGACGAAGGATGTCCAGTACAGTCATCACTGGGCCCATTTAGCTATTTAAATTAAGTAAAATGAGATGAAATTAAAATTCAGTTCCTCAGTCACACTAGGAACTGGTTCTTATTAAGTGTTCGATAGTCACATGTGGCTACTGGCTACCATACAGACAGTGCAGACAAACCATTTCTGCCACTGCAGAGAGTTCTATTGGAGAACGCTGGTCTAGGTCAGGATTTGGCAAACGATGGCCCGCCTGCCTGTTTTTGTAAATAAAGTTTTATTGGAACACAGCCATGTTCACTTGCTTAAGCTGCTTTCACAACACAACGGCAGAGTTGAAGACTTGAGTAGTTGTGACGGAGACAGGACAGCTTGCAAAGCCTGAAATGTTTCTATCTAGCCTTTTAAGAAAACATTTGCTGGCCACTGGTCTGGATGATAGTAACCACCAATATTAGTAATTAATAATAGTCAACCTTTTTGAATGTGGCTTTATCAGCATCGCTTCACTGAAGTCAGAGCAGCCGAAGCCCAGGTGAGAAGCAGCAGAGCTGGGATTTGAACCCAGGCCTGCCTGGCTGTAGTCTCAGCCTTGGGCAGTGTGCCCCCTGCTCCCTTCCTGTCCCACACACCTCTCTCCACTTGGCATCGCTCTTCTGCTGGATCGTTGCTGGGTCAGGCTGGAAGGTCCCCAGAGGCGCATGCGCTGATGACAGGAGCTGAACGCACAGCTGGTACTTGGACCCGCAGTCTGGCCTTGCTGCGAACCTGCAGGCAGAGAGAAGGCCCATCAGGGCCTTGGAGATGGGGGGGCAGGGTGGGGGTGGGGCACCTGAGTGGCAGGGCCCACCCCCAGGCCCTCGCTCCAGGCACTCACCAGTCCTTGACCTTGATGTCCGGCCGTGTAGTGTCCATCAGCTCCTCCCAATACCCTTCGGCCTTGAGGTCCACCACCTGGGACTTGAGGCAGGTGCTGGGGGGCAGGCGGAGGGTGGGCTGGGCTGAGGCTCACCACTAGGGCACTGGGAGGCTAGGCTGCTTTCCCAGAGAGGAGAGACCCCAGGGGGGCAGTGACTTTGGCTTCCCCCTCACCCCAAGTCCCCCTGACCTTGGATCTTACTAATAAGAAGTCACGAAGTATTTCTTGACCTGGTCATTGGGGAATTCCTTCCTCTGGTCTCCAGAGAGGTCTTCCACCTTCCACTCATCGCCTCCATTCACATCCAGGCTCCAGAACTCAAATCCCTCTGGCAGGAAAGCACAGATCACATCAAAGGGAAGCCCCTCCGTGGTCACCTTCTCTCTCCCGAGGGCCCCTCCTCCCAGTTCTCCCTGCAGCTCAGCAGTTGCCCCCAGGCCTGTGCTGTGGAACTGCAGATCAATGGTGCCTGCCTGGAATTAGTGCTTCCTGTGTCAGGCACTATGGTAAGTGATTTCCACTGGGACTCCTGGGACACGTGATGATATGAAGGACCAGATTCCTTCTGTGATGCAGAACGCCCTGCTGCTGGCCAGATCTGAGGCTAGTCCTGCCTCTACCAATACTGACTGTGTGACATCAGGCAAGTTGCTTTCCCTCTCTGAGCCTTGGTTTTGTCCTCTGGGGTCAAAGATTAGGGACTGGCAAACTTTCTGTAAAGGGACAAAATATTTTAGGTTTTATAGGCTATATATTGTCTTATTGCATAGTATGTGTGTGTTTTTTAAAAATAATCCTTTAAAATGGTAAAAGGCATTCTTAGCTCCTGGGCCAGATTTGGCTCATGGACCATAGTGTGTCAACTGCTGGTGAAGAACATGGCTGTTGGGGAGTCACGTGAGGCAGGCATCTAAAAGTCTTAGAGAGCTTGGAGCTGTTTTATCATTTTGCTCCAGAATTTGGCCACATAATGGAGAATGAGGCTCCCATCCTCTCCTATCCCAGTGTCTAGCTGACGAGTTAACATAGGGAGGGAACAAGGAAGTGCTGGAAGTGGCTGAAGTGTGCTGGAAAGAAGACTGGACCTCTCATTCTTCCACAGGCAAAGTCCTTTGACCTCTGGGACAGTCCTAGTAGGCCTAGCCCTGGAGTCTGGGAACTAGGTCAACAAAACAGGGCTGACTTCCTGGTCTTGTGCCTGGGGCATAGTTAATCCCAACTAATCAACATTCCTTCTCCTAGGAAAGGTCACTGGGGATATCAACTTAAGGGTGGAAGAAGAAATGCCACTGTTGGCCTCAGTTTGCTCATCTGAAAAATGGGTACACTACCAGCACCTACTTACCTTTTAGGATTATTGTGAGAGGATTAAAGTTGTTAGGCCATTCAAAGTACCTAGCTTACAATAAGTGCTTAATAAATGTTAGCTGGTATCCTGACAGTGTGTGTGTTGGGGGCACACCAGACCCACTCTGCACCCCACCTTCGGCACACGGGTTGTGCAGGAGGTTCCTGTGGAGGCTTCGTAGGAAGTAGAAGATCTTCCAGTCGGCCACAGGCTGGTCCCAGTCCTCGGTGATGAAGCCCTCACGCAGGCATTTGCGCTTCCAGAGGGTCATGAGGTCTATGAGGTCCCGCCAGAGGCTGCAGACCAAGCGGCAGCGCAGCAGCAGCTGGCGGGCGGGCACGTGTGTGAACAGCTCCAGCAGGATGTTTTCTGGCAGCTCGTTGATGTTCTCCACCGCCATGGCTCCTGGCTCCCGGACACGCCTGTGGTTATTGAAAAGCGAGGCTACAGACCCTCTCCCTGGGCCTGGTATTGGCAGCACCCCGTGCTGGTGGAGGTCCCCAGCCCGGGTTTACAGTCTCGGGAAAGTCCCTGGGCCTCTCTGGGCCTCAGTGTCCTCCTCGGTAGCCAGGGGCCAGGAACAGCACCTGCCACCCCCTGGGAGGTTCAAGGAGCCTGTGACACCGCAGAAGCTCAGTACAAGGTGAGTTGTTTTTTGCTTTTAACTGGCACCTCCCAACAGCCTCTAGGCTAGGGAGGCCTGCGGAGCGGGGGCGGGATCTGTCCAAAGTCACAAAGACAGGAGCAGAGGGAAGGAGGCCGAGCCTCCTCTGATTCTCGGGTCAGCCTTTTCCAAGAGGCCGGTTGTTAGAGTGGAAATAACAGCGCACAGCCCCGCAGAGCATTCCAGCCGCAGCGGTGCCTTCTCTTCTCTCCAGCGCTCGGAGGGGGGAGGGCGATGTCGGGGGCAGGGGTAACGATTGTCTCCGACCGAGGTCCGAAGGGCTCACGCGACTTTCTCAAGGCCGAAGTGGAAATGACCTGCCCAGTTGGGCCTGGAGAAGGGTGGGCAATGCAAAGACCTCCCTACACCCCCACTCCCACCCCCATGCCCGTGGCTGGCTCCAGGCCCCCTAGCGTGTCTTCACCCTCCCATTCCTCGTGGCGACTTTAAAATGTCCCCCAAAGTCGGGGCTCGGACCCCTACGCGAGACCCCAGCTCCGATTTCCGCTC